ATATATATAAAAGTGTCAGTATTTCCGGAATACTTTCAAAAATTAAATTGAAAATATCTTAGTAACAATACGCATGTTTAAAGTTTTGACCCCCCTTGTTAAAGGGGTATGATCCGATTTACAAAAAAAGCGTGCCAGATGAAAGGGGTATATAAATATTTATTATAAAAAAATAATAATATTGATCCATACATTTTTCCAAAAGTTATATAAAATATAAATTAAATAATATAACATATAAAATCGAGATTTTTTTCACGGAAATCGTACGTTTTTCTTTAACTTTGATGTCCGTTTTCACCACGAAGACAAGTCCAGAGGTCAAATTTTTTTTTTTCAAATTAAAGTATATTACATAAGCTTTAATTTAAGATATATATAAAAGTGTCAGTCTTTCCGGAACATTTTCAAAAGTTAAGTTGAAAAAGTTCTACTTTCTATACGCATTTTAAAAGGTTTGCACCCCCCCTGTATAAAGGGAAATGGTCCGATTTTAAAAAAAAGTATGTCGAATGAAAGAAGTATATATAAAGTATTTATCATTAAAGAATAAAGTTGATTCATGCATTTTTTAAAAAGTTATAGCAACATAATGTTAAAAAATGTAAAATATAATATCAAGAATTTTTTCACAAAAATAGCATATTTTTGCATACGGTAGTCATTTTCACCATGAAGACAAGTCCAGAGGTCAAATTTTTTTTTTTCAAATTAAAGTATATTACATTAGCTTTAATTTAAGGTATATATAAAATTGTCAGTCTTTCCGGAACATTTTCAAAAGTTAAGTTGAAAAAGTTAATTTTTTGTAAAAAAGTTACCATTTTGAAACCCCATCCTTTGGGCTGTTAAAGGGTCAAATGTTCACAAAAATATATAAAATGATAGATAATTATCTAAGGTATCTATAAAAAAAAAAATTATATTGATTCGGTCATTTTTAAAAAAGTTATGGCAATTTTAAGTAAAAAAAAATGAAAAAATATCGAAAATTAGCGATTTTTAAATTTGTAATTTTTTGGGGGATTTCCCCCGTTTACGAAGAACGAGAGATTTTTTTTCAATTTTTGAGGGTAATGTCTTCAACTAGATACGATTTGTGATCTTTTGACATATTTTTCATCAAAATTGGTTCAGTGAGAGCTGAGATTGAGAGTATACAGACAAAAAAAAAAAAAAAAAAAACACATCATAGTAAAATTAATACCTTCTCAGCTTCGCATCGAAGCTAAAAACTTAGTTTATTAATAGTCGGCGTGAGGTTTTTTAAACTACGAACTTTTTTTAATGTCAAACATTTAAAATTAAATTTAGTAACGAAGTTAAAAGATAATAATAACATAAAATTATATATCTTAAATATTCGGATTTGTTAAAATTTTTTTTATAGGAATGGTTTTCTTATGTAAATATTGTATTGAACTATAATATAATTAATGTAGATTACAACATACATTTAGTCTCAAATAAAATGTAATCAGAAAATTTTGAACTTCCATCAAACAACAACAATTTCTGCCAACCGCATGGTCTGGAAATTGTTTTAGTGTACTAAGTATCATTAAACGGTATGTATTGCTTAAATTTTGAGCGATAAATTCAATCAACTGTTTTCAGTAGACGGAAAATATATTTTAAAAGCGGCGACGTATTCATTGATTATTTTTAAATGGTTGGATAGATATTTGAGAAAATTAATACTAAAGTCAATCGAGTCCTAAATAGTAAGAGCGACAAATTTAAGTAAAATATTAGTTCATAAGCAAACAGGCAACGAGATGTTAATATCTTTAAGAATGTTTTTAACACTCTGTTTCTTTCAATTATACAGACTTATGAAAGCAACGTTGCCAGTTTGCTTATAAACTTATTTCTATAATTTGGACCAGAGAAAACATAACACTTTGACTATTGGTTAAAATAAGAGCTGTTTATCTTACCATTTAGCCAAGTTGCGTTTTGTCGTGCAATATGTTCACTGTACACTACTATACAATTATGACACTTTAATTTTGTTCATCCGTTTATTTGAGTTTGTCGTTTTTACAACTTGCCTTGATTAACTTAAGTATTCATATTTTTCAATGGCGGCTCGTGAATGCTGGTGATGGGGGTGCGACTTTAAATATAATACCGCAAGTCATAGGTATAAAAAATTGTCAAATTAAATATAATAAAATAAAACGCAATACACATATTATTATTTTAAAGGTCGCACTAGAAAATAGGAATGAAAATAATAATAGCGATTATACTAGTATAGCAACCGATAACGACGAGCGTACGCGTAATTAATTCTGAAAATGAATTACCCAAAATAGTAATATACTAATAATGGCCGACCCCAAGTAAATGACATTAATGCCATTTAGGAAAATGGAGAAGAGTAATATACTAATATTTTACCGTATAGACGACGCTGCCGGTCGTCCAAAACCCGTTATAAAATCGCAGCTGAATCGTACTCGGCACGCACTCGATTGGCGCCTCGTTAACGTTTCAGAATGTTGCCGGACGACGCTCCAGGTCGACCAATTACTGCTTGTGTGTACATGTTATGCATAAACACTGGTATCTGAGGGAAATAACTTTAATGTTCGCACACGACAAATGTATCATAACTATTTTACAATTTTAAAATTTGCATTTTTAATAAAAATATAGAATCAAGAATATACAATTAATTTTCTTAATTAATTTTAGTAGGGGGTGCGATCGTCCCGTCGTACAAGCAACGAGCCGCCACTGATAATTTTATATACCTGTTAATCAAATTAAAAATAATCAATGAACTTGTCGCCAATTCATTGTTTAGTTTACAATTTATTACTGTACCATTGCTCTCTTATAGTATATTAGTTTTTGGATATTACTTTTTTTTTTAATTTAGACGTTTCTCGGCAGCGTATTTTAAACCACCTAAATATAAAAGTAGTAATAATTTCTAAGTACTGATTTAAAAATTATATTTAAAATACAAGTATTACATTTTTATTTAATAAGCAAGTTAAATATGTGTGTTGCCATATAAAAAAATAAAGTTGGTGACACCAACTTGGTGTCCTTCTGAGAGATAGAAGACGAACCTAAAAACTAAATAACCTTCTACAAATTGAGATATAGTACTTAATATACTATATAATAATACTCAACAAAGCCAAAACAAATATTTCTAAGATTATTACTTTAGAGAAATTTAGTGATCAATGATAAATCAATTACCCTATAAAGCTAAATCATATTTCACACAATTTTTATTTAACAGTTTTATACATTTATTAAGTTCACAATTTTGTAAACAATTATATGTATTTTTTTTAATTTTTAAATTTTAAATTAAAAGTTATTGCAGTACATAACCGATTAAATTATTATAAATTATATTATGTATATATAATCTCAAATAAAATGAAAAGAAGATTTAAAACTTATATCAAATAGAACAAACGTTTCTGTTAAAAAATTAACAAAAACGAATCACTTTAATGTAGTAAAAGTGATGCTTGAATAATATGTACCGAAAATTGACTAAGCTGACATAATAAACAACATACATTTTATAAATGCAATTTATTTTTACTATACTAATGGACGATAAATAAGTAATAGAAAAATAACTCGACCAGACGGCTATTAATAGCAATAATTTTAGTATTTAAGCGACAAATTCCAACAACCGTTTTCATCAGACAACAAATATTTTCAAAGTGGCCATAAATTCAAATAATATATGAGTTAATAGGAAAACTGACAACGTGTGAAATTCATAAGCGTTAAAAGTAATTTGAATACTCTCCCTTTTAACTATACAAACTAAGTGAAAGCAACGTTGCCAGTTTGCTTATGAAATAATTTCTACACCGCGGGCCAAGAACACAACCGAGTAACTATTGAGTAAGATAGAATTTTATCAATCTTCATATTCGGCCGCCAAGGTCACGTTATCATGCAATATATTCATTGTACTATACGTTTAAGACACTTTAATTTTGTATATTCTATTACTTGAGTTTGTCGCACTACTACTTGCCTCGATTGACTTTAGTATTCATTTTCTAAAATACCTGTCTATCGAATAAAAAATAATCAATAAATTTGTAACCAATTCGTTATTTAATTTTCAATTTATTACTCTACAATTGTTCTCTAATAGAATATTAGTATTTGGGTATGATTTTTTTTTTAATTATAAGTTCTCGTCGCCCATTTTCTCCCGTGTAAATATACAAATTGTAATAGCTTTCAAAATATTGATCTAAAAATTACTTTTTAAAATTAAGTTTTACATTTTCTATTTAATAAGTTAGTTAAAAATTTATTTTGCCATCTAAAAAAATAGTTTATATCCTCATAAGAGATAAAGGACAAACCAAAAAAGTATTTAAACATTTATAAATTGAGATATAAATAGTACTCAAAAAAAGCCACAAAATATATTTCTAAAATTGTTATTACTTTAGGAATAATTTAATAGTCAATGATAAATCTATGACTCTTAAAAGCTAATTAAACAACATTAAAAAAAATTGTATAGTAATATTTCACACGAATTTTTATCTAACAGTTTTATACATTTATTAAGTTCACAATTTTGTAAACAATTATTTATATTTTTTAATTTAATATTAAAAGTTATTACAGTGCATTACCATTTAAATAAATATAAATTACAACATATATGTCTCAAATAAAATGTAAATAAAAAATTTTAAACTTCTATATAAAATATAAGAAACACTTCTGCTAAAAAATGAACAAAAAAGAATAACTTTCGTGCAGTAAAAATGGTGCTTGAATAATTTCTACCAACAATTATAAAGCCAACATAATAAACAGCATACATTTCATAAATACAATCTATTTACTATACTAATGGGCCATAAATAAGTAATAGAAAAATAACTCAACCAGACGGTCTATTAATAGCAATAATTTTAGTATATTTGAGCGACAGAATCAAACAATTTTCAGCAGACGGAACAAATATTTTAAAAACGGCGATGAATTAAAATAAAATGTAAGTTCATGACCAAACTGGCAACGTCTATAATTCATAAGTCTTAGAATAATTTCAACGCTTTGTCCCTTTTAATTATACAGACTTATGAAAGAGACGTTGCCAGTTTGCTTATGAACTTATAAACAGCGGGACACGATAAAATACAATTGACTGACTGTTGGTGAGACAAGATTTTTTCTATATTTTCATTTAGCCACCGAGTCACTTTCATTCGTGTAATATATTTACTGTACTATACATTTAAGATACTTTAATATTGTTCATCCTATTATTTCAGTTAGTTGTTCTTATAACTTGCCTCGATCCACTTTAGTATTAATTTTCTCAAATATCTGTTTACCGAATTGATTAAATAATCATTGAATTTGTTGTGAAGTCTTCAATTTATTTGTGATTGGGTATGACTATTTTACCATTAAACGTTTCTCGCGCGCGTAATTCCGTCTGCCTAAGTATTAAAATACTAATAATTTTAGAAGTAATTGTTAAATATTTATTACCGTTCAGTTATTTTTTAAAATAGATCATTTTCTATTTTATTTTATAAGTTTTTAATATATAATTATATTTAAAATACAAGTATTACATTTTTATTTAATAAGCAAGTTAAATATGTATATTAACATCTAAAAAAATTAATTTTGAACCCATATAAGGAATAAAGCACTAATCTAAAAAGTATTTAACCATTTATAAATAGAGAGATAAATAGTATCCTAAAAGGCAAATAAATATTTCTAAGATTATAATTACTGTAGGAGAAACTTAGTCGTCAATGATTAAACAATTGCCCTGTAAAGCTAATTAAATAACGTATTATATATGTATAATAAATATTTTCAGTAATTTTTATGAAACAGTTTTATACATTTATTAAATTCATAATTTTATGAACGATTATTTATATTTTTAAATTTTAAATTATACGTCATTACAGAGCATAACCGATTAAATTAATATAAATTACAACATATATTTAGTCTCAAATAAAAGTATAAAGAAATTTTTAACATTTATCAAACATAAAACAATTACTGCTAAAAATAGAACAAAAAAGTATAACTATAATGCAGTATTAGTGGTGCTTGAATGATTTGTACGAAAAATTGTCAAAGTTGACACAATATACATTTTATAAATGCTATTTATTTACTATACTAATGGACGATAACAATAGAAACATAACTCAACCGGACGGTCTATTAATAGCAATAATTTTAGTATATTTGAGTGACTAGTTCAAACAACCGTTTTCAGTAGATGGGAAAAATATTTTTAAAGCGGTGACAAATTCATTGATTATTTTCAATTCGATGGACAGATATTTGAGAAGTTTAATAACGAAGTCAATCGAGCCACAAGTAGTTGGAGTAACAAATGCAAATAAAAGATTAGTTCATAAGTAAACTGGCAACGTGGTGTTCATGAGCATTAAGAACGTTTTTAATGCTCTGTCTCTTCAGATTTATAAAAGCAGCGTTGCCAGTTTCTGATCTTACTGCTCTACTATAGGCCACGCAACAGAGTGGCTATTGAATAAGACAGGATCCTTTTATCTCACCATTTGTCCGCCAAGTTGCGTTCTCTCATTCAGTGTATTAACGGTACTATATTTTAGTGACTTTGTTCGACCGGTTATTTGAATTCGTCGCTCTTACTTCTTGCCTCGATGGAATTCAGTATTCATTTTCTCAAATGTCTGTCCATCGAATTAATTAAATAATCAAAGAATGAGTCGACAATTTTTTGTGTAGTTTTCAATTTATTACTCTAGTGTATTAGTGTCGGGTGTGACTATTTTTATCATTTAACATTAGTTCACGACTGCACTATTTAATCCGTCATCAATAAAAATTTGCTATTTTCCGAAATACTGGTGCAAAAGTTGTTATTTAATAAATTAGATTATTTTATATTTTACAAGCTAGATCAATATACATATGTATGTTCCCATTTAAAATATAATAAAAGTAAGAAAGGGATAAGGGTAAACCTAAAAAATATTTAACCACTACTCAAAAAAACATTTTCGAGATTATTATTATTTTAGGATAAATTTAGTGGACAATGATAAATAAATTACTCTGCTAATACTAATACAATACCCTAAAGTTATTTTAAATTGTTTTAGTATATTCACACAATTTTTATAAATTTATTAAGTTTCAAACTTTGTAAAAAATATTTAATATTTTTTAATTTTAATTAAAAATTTAAAAAATTAGTTATTGGAGTGTATGATCAATTTTATACAGCTTCTGCAAATTAAAGATTTAGACACGAGGCGTACATATTTTATACATATTTACATATTTACATATTTATACATATTTTATGTACATATTTAAGTCAGTGAGAAAAAACATAAACCCCCTTCCCAATATTTTAAATTTAATTTGATTCCATAAAAAACTATTTTATATTGGATGATAAAACCCGCACAACATTTAATTTTTTTTTATGCAACAATTAATATAATATTTGCGAGAATCATTAAAACTTTAAAGATGTTGAATTCATTTCTTTTTACGATGACGTCTGAGAGTCCCGAAAATGTTTTTTTTAAACATTTAAACACGAGGCAAGTTTTTTTTAAACTCTTCATCAAATCCATCCATGTATTTTAAATACTTGAACATATGTAAAATTGGTATTTATTACAAAATGTTTCCAAAAATAATCCGATCAATAAAATTCACTTAAAAGAATAAAATAAGTCATATTAGAATTAGAATAAAGTTAATTTATCAGGATAATAATTTACAATTGTTGTTATTTTTATAGTCAGTGCCAGTTCAGGATCACAAACATGTATCAATGAAGTAGCTCAGTACGAATGGTTATACATTTAATATTATAATAGACAAAACAATAGACACGATACAGAATAGAACAGTAAGGAGTGCAGCAATTTATTTTAGTGATTGCAAGGAGGAATAGTAGTAGTTTTGATATCAGCACTGTTATTCCCTAATAGCAATAAATAGCTGTTAATCAAAACGATTAATAATAGTGACTGCTAGTTTTATTTATCAATATTATTACTTTTCTGACCATATTATTAACTACCACAAATTACTAGATCAGATTTAAAGTTTTATCAAATTTAATTAACAAATAGAATGATTATTCTTATTTCTTATTTCTTAACATCATCAAACAATAACGGTGTATTCGTCAGGCTGGCATAAATATTATTATACATTTTTATATATATTCTTAGGATACTCGATAACTCCTAGAAATCGAATTTTCGGATAATTTTTCTTTTATCATTTTAAAATAAATTGTATTAACTTTAATTTGATGTAGGTTCAAAGAAAACAGGTGTTTTGAAACATTATAAAAAATTAAAGGAAACAAATTTGTTATGGTGATTTTATTCCTTCCTAGTACTATAGTTAATGATACAATTTTAAACAAACGTATGTTAAAATTTAGCTGAAATTTTTTTTAGCTTCATGTATTGTTCAAATAAATAAATATTGTGATATTTTGACGTATAGTTGAGCAAAAATGATCCAGTAGGAACGGAGTAATTACGTCCAAGGATACACAAAAAAATTAATTAATAATAGCGGTGTATAACCAATAGCCTTAGTTACGCATTAAAGTCAATAGTTAAAAAAATTAGCAGTTTCATAATTTCTTTAAAAAATATCAATAGCTGCTGTTTTTTACTTTTACTTCAAAATAACAATAGCATAAGAAGATGATACTAAAATTAATAACATTTTATCACTACCAATTTATTTATAAATAAATAAAATACTTGATGACATATTTTTTAGTTATTTTGATTTAAAAACTACTGAACCGATTTTGATAAAATTCTATGGGACTAATTTAAAAGGGCATGTTTTTACCTTTTAAATAAAAAAAGAATTTTTGAGATCGGCTTATAAATGGCAGAGTTCTGTGGTAATAAACATAAAATATACAACCGAATTCACAACCTCCTCCTTTTTTTGAAATCGGTTAAAAACAAATAAAAATAAAATTTGCCATATGAGTACTAAAGTATTCAATCCGGATTGCGCCCGAGTTGCGGTTATATTGGTTCTCAGTCGGTTTAAGCGATCCACGAGTGCTGGAAAAGTTCAGCGTTCAAAATGTTATGGTAAACTGGGTGTTCAATTTGACCACGCTGATAAGTGTTGTCAGGAATAGTCAAAATAATAACTAATTATAATGTAACATTTACTGATTGAACTATGACCATCGAGAAGATGGCCAGGTCCCTTTTATATTTACATTGTTCACTAAATAATCATTAAAATATTAATACTTTCTATTGTTATAATTAAAGTATTTGGCAGTATAATTCTACTTTCTAGTAACTATAATGTTTCATATAAATTCCTTAAAACTAAAATTTACAAAATAATCATGGGTTCACAACAATGTAACTCAGTATTTTTTTAAAAGTAATAGGATAGTTAAAGTTCAAAATAAAATCGTACGGTCCTATCAATGTTCAAGAGTGCACTCGGAGGTAACCTGACTCTCAGTTTATGTACTGTTCATACAATCAATTTACACCTACTACTTGATTTTATTTTAAGTACAATAGAAACATTATAATGTCTATAATAGTTTTGATATACAGTTATAATTTTATATAATAATTAACCTTTTAATTAATATAATAATAACATTTTAAATATAACAATGATCTATGATGACTTTATTGAGACTAGCACGAATTCATTTGGTGAACTTATGGCGGAATAACTAGACGTGCCGTTAATCACTGACCGACAATTCTAGTACGCACGTTTTTAATAGTATTTTAACTTAGTTGCGATTTGTGTGCCATTCCCACAAATATTACACATTTTTATAAATTCTCCTTTTGAAACATAGTCATTTTCTTATCAACAAAAGAACTGACAAGATTACTGCCTCTCTTGTTTCTTTTTGTTAATAATTTATTTTATGTTTGACTCAAAAATAAGTAATTTTAGAATTAGCTTATATAAAAATAAAATAAATTTTATTAAAATGTATTATATGGTAAAATTATTTAAAGAATGTTAAAGAGACATAGTCCAACATATTGAGAACTGAATTATTTATTTTAATTTCAAACAAAATACTATCATTTTTTTTACTAAATATTCACAATAATCAATACATTATTTAATATAATATATTACTTTTATTAAATTAACTAATGATGTACTGAAAAATATTTACAATAAAGAAATGCTTTATTAAATTTGAAGTTTTGATGAAACAATAATTAAGTTGTCTTAAAAATAAATGTACCACAAAGTGAGGTATCAGTAATACATATGTTGTATATTCAGATCATTTCTTTAGAAACTTGGGATTATAATCATTATTAGCACACTTAGTAAATTAAAATAATTAAAAATTATTTTTCTAATAAGGAAAAATGGGATGGGTATGAATAGAAATAAAACCAAGTTTTTATGCTTTGAAAACATAAAATATAATGATTTTTAGCAACGATAACAGCTCTAAACATATAATAAAATTCAAATGACACATGTATTTTATGGTAACCTATGAACTTCAAATTATGATTTTTTTAAATAAAATTCCAGGACACACTTAAATCTGAGGAGTAGGTTTTAATATTATCTGTTAATTTTAAAGTGTATAAAATATATCAAACCTGACCACATTATTTTCTTTATTTATAGCTAGAAAAAAATCAATTTATTATTTCTTTTTTTAGATACCTATTATCAAAAAAAAAAACAAAAACAATTATGCTTAATCTTAATATTACTCTTAATCTATAATTAATTTATTATTGTTATTTATTACATTATATATAATACAAATAAAATCAAGAAAAAAAACCCAGCACAGGGGGGTTGCGGAACAGTAGTGACGTGGCATAGTTGGATCAAGTATAATGATATCTGACAGTGATTAAAGTCACTATAAAAAAAAAACGCTTTGATGCAAATCTTTAGATAGTGTTTAATTTTAAAAAATTGGTGGATTATTCGAAAAGCTTCATAAAATGCTAGTTCCTTATTAATATCCTAATTAAGATAAAGTATGTCGAATGAAAAAGGGATTATTAAAAAATAGTATTTCCCATAAAAAAAATATATTGATCAATACACTTTTCAATAAGTTATAGCATTATAAAGTTAAAAATGTAAAAAATAAAATTAAGAATTTTCACACAATAATAGCGTTTAGTAGCCATTTTCACCGTGAAGACAGAATAATGCCCGAAATTTTTTTTTTTACATAATAAAGTAGATTACATTAGCTTTAATTTAATATATATATAAAAGTGTCAGACCTTCCAGAACACTTTCAAAAGTTAAGTTGAAAAAGTTTTACTTTCTATATGCATTTTTATGTTTTGAATCCCCCCTGTATTAAGGGAAATGGTCCGATTTAAAAAAAAAGTATGTCGAATGAAAGATCTATATAAATACTACTTCTCATAAAAAAATTGTAATGATCCATACATTTTTCAAAAAGTTATAACATAATAAAGTTAAAAATGTAAAATACAAAATCGAAAATTTTCACATAAAAATAGCATTCGGTAGCCATTTTCACCCTGAAGATAAAATAAAGTCCGAAATTTTTTTTTTTCATGATAAGGCATATTACATTAGCTTTAATTTAAGAGATATATAAAAGTGTCAAACCTTCCAGAACACTTTCAAAACTTAAGTTGAAAAAGTTAATTTTTTGTGAAAAAGTTGTCATTTTAAATCCCCCCCTGTGGCCAGGAAAAAAGTCAGATTTATAAAAAAAATATACCAAATGATAGGTAATGACATCATGCATCTATAAAAAAAAAATTATATTGATATGTTTATTTTTAAAAAAGTTACGACAGTTTTTAGTAAAAAAAATTGAAAAAATTTCGAAAATTAGCCATTTTTAAATTTGTAATTTTTTCGGAGGTTTCCCCCATTTACGAGGAACTAGGGAATGTTTTTCAATTTTTTGTGGGTAATGTCTTCGACTAGATACGATTTGTGATCTTTTGACGTATCATTGAAAGAAATCGGTTCGGTGAGAGCTGAAAAAAAGTGGTAACAGACACAAAAAAAAAACACATCTTAGTAAAACCAATACCTTCTCAGCTTCGCATCGAAGCTAAAAATTTAATTTCATTGTAATCTTTGAAAGTTTTTGTATTAGAATTTTTACTTAGTTTATGTTAGGTCTAACATAAAATTTTATATAGTACTACATTTCTTTGAAGTTTAATAGTTTAGTTTAATTATATATTGAAAAAATAAAATCTAGTAAGTCACTATTGTATGTCACACTAGAGTATAGTAAATTAAGAATTTAAATATTAATTAAAACTTTTAAAGTTTTATTATATAACTGTATTCAGAATCAACATCCAAATATTTTAAAAATAATTGATCATATTGGAGCGGGTAAATAACTTCAAAGAGGATGTAATGATGGATCATTAAAAAATAGTAATGTTAATGTTTAAAACAACTTGAAGTAATACATATAAATCAGCCAGTTTTGTAGGATTTTTTGATCGATAAAAAGATAACTAATCAAAGTAAGAATACGCATAAAAATTTTTTATTTTATTCATATTTATCATGTTTATCAATTTATTAAATTACTTACATAGTACACGAGTTTATAAGTTAGTGTTAAAAGTGTCGCCAAGTCAACTGCTTTGTGGAACAAACAAGGGCGCTCGACCAAGTCAGCTGATTTAATCAAACAAAATCTTGGCGTTTATTTAATAATACTATACAAGATACGTTGGAATTCATTGTATGTTGCGTAATAAATTAATTAAGAATAATGAACTTAAATTTAATTGCAATATAATATTGAATTATAAAAATTACGATTTAATCAAAATACTAAATTATTATTAGTTGATGGTGTAAAATATCAAATGTTAATCTTTTATATATTTTGTATAATATTTTTATAAACACTAGACATATAGGGCTATTGTTATAACTTTCATAAACATGGAAATTTCTATAAAATAATTAATTATATATAATATCAATTTTAAAACCAGGATAATATATATTTGTAAAGAGAGACAGGAAGATGGATACTGAATATTTAAATTTATAGCTAGTAATAAAATTAGAGTTACAAATATATAATTATTAGTAATAAAATTTTCTTTAATTTTGTAATTTTACAATATTAATCATAATAGAATTTGCTATACATAAAAAACAAATACATGTATACATATATATATATATATATATATATTTATATAATTCATATAATATTTGTAATTATGGAATATTTCTTATATTTATTTAGAAAATAAATAACCTTAAATACTAAAAATAGTATTCATAACAAAGACACATATTGACACAAAAGCATGAAGTATATTAAAAAAAAATACAATCTAAAATATGTGTAAATTCAAAATAAAATAATTTTTAACAACATTGTTTCAACATTGGACATGAACTAATGTAATAGAACTTAATTATAATAAATAGTTTCTTAATCAATTACGACATAAAAAAAGTACAACATTTTTTTTTAATTTTTAAAGTAAAACATCAAGAGAGAAAATGGGTTAATAAGTGTTATTAATTAACTACGTTTATTTGTAGATGAAGCTAAACGCTTATTTTTATGCCTGCATAAATATGTGTTAATTACACTTTATATTATTTGAGCTCACAAAGAGTCGGGCGGTTGTCACGCGACGGCAACACGAACCCGCCGCAGCGGACGGGCGACAATGGCGTACACGTCGGTAGTTGTTAGTATATTAACAATATACGGGTAGTTCCAAATTGGAATTTAGTGGAAGTCGGGTGACAAGGCACAGCAAATGGGCAATAGCATATACGTCGATAGTTATTATACAGTGCAACTGCGGCCCCTGGAATTATTTGGAAGTCCTTGTCCGTATTTTAGGCCATCCCGAAATTTACGGGATCCACTTGATGGCAAAAATGATATAAAACTGAGAAGAAATTCTAGTGCCAACATGGTTCCAAGTTTTCCGTAAATGGTCCAGGACCGTAACCAGGTAGTGTCGACCTGTGCCTTCACCGGTCCTGATGAGGTTTTGGAATGAAAATCTTAACATTGACCGCCCAACAAAAATCAGACACTTACTTGGTACGTTCCGAAATAGTATTCAAATGGCATTTTAAATTCTTAGCACTACTTTAAAAGTGCCTAAATTGTCCATAAATGTATACAAAAATTCGTACGAAATCTTTTATATATTTATTAAATAGTTGTGTAAACTACTCTAGATTAGTATGCATATGACCGAAAATATACTAAATAATTAATTTAAATTATCAAATCAACGGTCCAGAATTATAAAAGCTCACTTGAGTGTATCACTTAGTTCCTTGCTAAAAATACAACTCCATTAACCATTAGTTAGGAAAATATCTTTCTAACCCAATTCTTTTTTTGTATACAATTGGCTATTTTCGTGAATGAATGTTAAAATTATTACAATAAAATTTCATAATAAAAAAGAAGTATAATACTGTGGATAAATCGTATTTAATTTTTATACACTTAAATTGTAAATATTTTTGTTCTAATAATTTTATAATGAAAATTCCCACGATGTGAACACTACTGATAAATAATATTGGCTCTATATAAATCCGTCTAAAAAACTATTTCATTGATTTTGCAGACCAACAGTAATTTTTATGTATTTTTAGATACGCTCACTTAAAAAACACTGTTGGATTATTTTGTTACAACTAAGAAATAATTAGGTTCCGGCTTGGTATTTTCACATAATAAAGTCACCGTAGATCATTTAACGTAAAGGAGGATTATACATAAATATTGCTACCTAGGTACCCTATTTCTACAATTTTAGCATACTAGTTTCATAGATTAGAATATATATCGTTTATGAAACTATATTTTGAGATTATTTTAAAGGATAATTTTTGAAATTTATGACACCTTTTATAACACAGGTGCTATACATAATTTTTTTTTAACCTTTTTGTTTTTGAACATATCTTTTCTAATCGTTATATGACGACAAAAAAACTCAACTTATAAATTTGTCATGTAAATTTAAAATATATTTGAATACCAAACTCTCACAAGCCCATATTTTCAATTAAGGAAGATGAATATTTTGAAATGTTCATTTAAAAATACTGCTGGCGTATAAACATTTAATCACATAAACTAGAATTATATTTTTATCAATATTATCTATTATATTGTATTAAATCCAAGGGGAAGCATTTTATTAATTGTCGTGCAAAGAAATACGATAAAATTATATGTGTTGTGATATTCCTTCAAAAAAAATCTTTAGTACGATGACTCAACCCAAGTGTTGGTTATCTAACATCATTGGCTGTAGTTATAACAACTCCAATATTTGTGTGTGTATAGAACGTTTAATCTATTAAATATTAAGTATGACTATGGTTTTTAAACTACTCATAACAAATATAGAAAAATTAAATCTCATTGGCTGTTGATTATTCCTAACGTGTACGTATAATATTTGACTATTGTTTAAAGTATGATACTACATAGAGTTTGGATAAGTTTGACAGTGACCCGTGCCTATAAAAAAGTTATCATTTGAAACCCATCCGGTTTTTTTGGTGTTTGCAGTACATCAATGACCCATGGTACGTGATCTTTATAGTAATAATATCGTTATTATTGTTCATTTCAGACATGCACAATCATAACATTACCATAACACTTTATTTCTGTTTTAATTTACTACTAACTCTTATCTAGGTATCTTATAGCTGCCACTGACATTCTGTTTTGTGGACATTGATAATTTCTATTCTTGCCTTAATATAACGTTTTACAAAATTCAAGATATTTATTTTAGAAGCATTTGTTTTATGATTTTTAGTAATTTTACTTCTTATTTTTAAATAATTAAATTAAATTTACAATTTAACAAAGTTTCGATTTATTCACCTCCTCCAATCATCGCCGTAATTAGCCGGGGAGTTGGGTTTTAAAATTCAGAAAATATGTATATATTATTTCATAACTTTATTTTTTAAGGTGGAGAAAATTATAGATCCTCAAAAAAATATGTTCAAAATTAATTCATGCCTTTAAATATACTATTTAAAAAATACCTCTAACTTAGGACAGATAAATATCTATTAAATTTTTGTTGTATAAATCTACATCTCTAGTGAAATGTTTAAAAGTTTTGTTAAGAAGTATAAAATATTTGTCCACAAAAATTAAAAGACCAAATTTGTGAAATATTTAATTGCCTCAAGTTAGTATGTCTCCCAAAGTTGGTCTATTTGACGGTAGAACAAGTATAGATATAATTTGAACTGTATACATGTTGCAATTTTATTTTGGAAACATTTTCTATTGAAAATATAAATAAATTTATGAATATTATGTATTTGTCAATGTGATAGCAGATGGTCGATAAATTAATAATAAACATAGTTGTGAGATGTTATTTTTTAATATTTTGGCCTTGGGCGTTCTCTTCATGGGGAAATACAGATCATACTTAACTTCTCTAAAAAAAATTATATGGTGAAGATGTATATATTTTTTTTTTTTGTGAAGATATTGTAAAGTATTTCTATCAATTTTTTTGTATGTAATAAACTATTTATAATTTATATTTTGCTATACAATGGTACTTTTGTCTTATCATCACGTGAACGACTTTTTTATACTTAATTAATTTAGCCTCATACCGACAATGGTTATGTATAAAACTTAAAAAATATAAAATACCATTTCAATTAAACTGAGTAACTAAATTATCATAAATTAATTAAATTAGTTGAAAAATAAATATAATGTTAATTTACCTGTATATTTTATTAATTTCACATAATTTATTACTACTTATATTTCATCAATAACTGTTTTGAAATATTGACTTCTTCTAGATGGTAATTATAATTCGTACATTTATCAATAAAAGATTTTTGTGAATTGAATTAGTCAATATTACTGTCAGTGTTTATGATTACATGAATGATAGTTGCATTATATATAAAGTTAAAAAGTAAATTAAAAAAATTGCTGCTGGTTGTTGACAAAATAAAAGAATGGATTATTTTTTTAAGACGTGTCTTGCATATAAAACTGTTGGTAGCGGAAGCGGGAGCCATTATAGAATGTTGGGCGAAAGAGTTGAATTTTAAAATTAACGCTTTATATAAACAGTCTTTTCTGTATGTTAAATTATTATTATTGCTTAGTGTTTTGTGGTGGCGTTTGGTTGATAGTTGTGTTGTATAGATAATTTGTAATTAGTTTTTAAATTAAATTTCTAGTTATTTTAATGAAATATAAAACATTTTTTTTATCGAAGTAAAATATTTGTATTAATGAAAATTAATCATTTCAAAAATTATAATTTGTTCTTTCATAGATTGAGTAAATACGTGGGTTGGAGGAGGCAAGATGAGGCAAAGCTGTAGTAATTGCATTGTGCAAAGTTTAAATTACAGCTATGGATCATCAGGCCACTTCTGTCTGCGATAATAATCATCAAATTAGATTATCTGTTAAGTTAATTATTTAGCTTCTCAGCTTTGGCTGAAATCTATTTTATTTATTGTTCATTTTTTCTGAATTGTATACAATAATAAATCTTTGTGTTTCCATAAACTAATATATTTTCAATTAATTTTTTTAAGAAATTTTTTAACGAATCGGTGGCGGATTTACGCGGGATGGTCGAGAGGGTATGGACCCTTTCTAGACATCGATATTATTATAGTATATGTATAGCAAGATTCTGATAAGTATTTTAGTAAATTTTATTCTTTAAAAATCCTTTCCCTTAGAAAAATATTGAATATTCGATACTGTAATAATCAAATATCTAAATATACTTATTATTATTTAGATTCAATTCTTAAAATATTATACAGCATTTGGTTTAGATGTTATATAGTTGTAATTATAGTATTATTGACTACAAGCAGTTAAAAAAAAATACAAATATTGAATTAAATCAAATTTACATAAGTGGCAAAAATTAAATTTTACAAGAAAAAACTTCATTTTTTCAAATAATTTCAAAAAGGTCTAAGAAAACTGAATTACAAAATTTAGTTGAAATATTTTAGTCAAGAGGATATTTGGTAAAATTTAATCAATAAAATAGCCAACTTTATAGGATTATTTTTAATATTGTAGTTATTTGTTATCAAATTATACAGTGATTTATTTTTCTTTCCATTCATTAATCCAGACTTTATTTAATTAAAAAATGAAATGAATTATAAATTGGAATTTAGTTGCAATAATTTTTCAAAAAATAATTTATGGTAAAATTATATTTTTGTTGAGATTTACCAGAAATAAATTTGTTATCAATGTTGTATATAGGTGCAAGTAGGAGATGCTTAAAAAACATTATTTTATTACTTATTATTATTTATTAAACTAAATATTATTTATAAATAAAAAAAATAATATAAATACTAAAACAAATTTATTAAATTTTAAGTATTTTTGAATATTATTTGAAAATTAATATTTTTAAATTAGTTAATTATTGTTTTTTAATTATGGATACAATCATTCTTGAAAAGATGATTCAAAATTATCTATCCAAAGAATGTTTATTTCAACTTTCAAAGAGCTAAGTCTATTTTTTTTATTATGCTAAAACCTACCAATCTTCATTTAATTTTTTTTGTATTTAACAATGTACTCCTTACATAAGGAACAGTTAAATGAAACAAACATTATTCGTTGTCCTCAGTTATTAATTGGTAATAAAAATTTTCCTGATTATAGTTTCCTTATACGTATATTATTTTTAGTAAAAGGGTGTAAATAATTTATCCTTGTAGTGTCAAATATTTGTCACGAAATTTTTTAATGTTGGTAACGCTGTAATCATAGGAATTTCACCCTACCTTTATTTGACGGATAATCATATCTGTTTATTGTTTATTATTGTTAAGAAAAATTACTTCTATTTTATTATTATTCACTGAGTAAAATCATTTCAAGAATATTTATTTATTTAATACATAATAAAATTGAGTAGACTTATTTAAATTGTATGCAGTTATTTGTTATAAAATTTCTGTATAATGTTGTAAATATAATTTTAATTCACTCCATAATTATCGGATTTTTGTAATATGTACCTATTTTTTGTTGTACATTTAATGTGTTTAAAACTTATTCATAGTTTATTATTACTGCAATAATCTTATTAAAGTACTAAAATTATTTATTGTATATGTTGTTATACCTTAAATTGCAACAATCCATTGTTCAAATTTCTATTGTAGAAGATATAAATTATAAAATAACGAGTAAGTAGTTAGTTAAGTATGATTTAAAAAAATTGTTTTCAAAAATGAATTTTGTTATAATAAATGTGGTTTAAATTGTTAAAAAAATTCTATTATTTAAGTAGCTAGATAATATACAAGTCATTGAAATTTAATGAACCAGCATATTTTTGGATTTTATAAAAATTATATTAATAATTTGTTTGGGGTTTCTTTTAGATACATGTTTTTCTGAATTCATCTGTTATAAATTTCTTTTTATGATCATCCCTTGTAAGTGAGTCAACTTTTTTTTTCAAATAGAAACAAACATAATTAGCTAGCTTATTTATTAGATAACGATCTAATTAAAATCATTAAGAGAAAATTGATAACAACTTTTGAACCAGTATTTTAGAAGTTATTAACAATTTAAAGTAATTTATGATGATAAGGTGGGAAGCTGCTATATTAATTTTCATCACTAAACATTAATTGGTCTAAATCTTCATCTCTCCTAATTGTATTAATGTTAATAACCTTTGAAACGCTGGTTCAAAAGTCGTTACTGACCTAATAATTATGTGTATTGCCATTTTAAAAGTTGGTATGCTTATACAGTATAAGGGATGAACTTAAAAAATACTTCATGTTTGATAAATCGAGAAAAACGTATATCTCAAAGAAACCTTCAATAAAGTGATCAATATTATTTTACAAAAATCTGCCGGTTCATTAAATTTTGATGATTCTTTCATATATGGATATAAATTATTGTGTTTAATATAGATAATAGATTAGTAAAGAATGATTATGTAAGAATGAGAATTGATTAAAAAAATTAATATATATTTCATTATGACAAATATTTTTTATTTATAAAATATCTTTTTTTTCATATTTTTTCAGACATTATCTATAAAGAACACAAAGAGAAGTTCTTGATCTTTTTCAAGTTTAAAGGAAAATAACTAAAAATGTCTCTTTATTCAGGTAACATATATAAATAAAAAAAATAGTGTAAATATGATGTATAGCTATAATAAATAATAAATGAAATCTGAACTACTTTTTATTAATGTATAAATAGGAAATTTTTATTAACATATTCATTTCATAATTGAGTTTTTATTATTTAGTGCCTTGTCCCTGTAATGTTTTAAAAATATTTGTCAGATTTACTAGAGTTAATGTAAGAAAAAAATTCTCAGTTTATGCTTTTGAAAAAAAAAAAATTAAACATGTTATGTACTTCAGATTTATAAATGATTGATTTATGATTGGTTAATTGGTCAAGTAGTTTAACCATTTTTTTTCGTATTAAAGTTATGATAAACGTGGATAATATTGAAGTAAATTAAATATTATGTAAATTATTTTTATTATGGTACATATAATAAATATCCAAATATTAAAATCCATGAAAACTTATTCTTGTCTAAACTCAATAAAATTTCTGGTTAGTAATTGTAAAAAATTATATTAAGTGCCTCTTGAAAAATCCTATTTTTAGAATTGCACAACTTGACTTATTAACTAATTTTTAAATAGTATATATATATTATTATAATTGATCAGTTTTAAGTTACTTATAATTAAATTAATTTTATGGGGCATAATGGATTTATGAACTAAATCAAAAACTCAAAGAGTATATTAGCATATAATTTTTTAAATTGTTACAGATATGTCTGCTGCTCTATCTATATTGACAGAAATAAAATCTTTAGTGAATGAATCAGGAAATGAAAAGTTAAAAGCTAATACCAATAATGATTTACAACTTCTAATTTCAGTATTTCAAAATCCAATAATTAAAACTATTGCTTCTGTTCAAGTACTTAATTGTTTTTTAGTAACAATTTAGTTAATGATTATATTATATATATATTTTAGGATTCTGTAGCAGAACTCAGTTGTCAACTTCAAGAACATCCATCCTTATTACCAATTGATTTTGATATATCACCTGTTACTGGTCAGTTAGTATTAAGTTTACCATCAGAATCTACTTTATATAATAGTGTTCCAGAAGATTTAGATCAACGTGTCCCCAAGTTGTCTAATAGTTCATCAACTGAAAGTTCTTCAACTACTTCTAAGGTTATAAATTTTAAGATTAAATAAAAATCTTATGCTAGAATTAAAATGACTAAAATCGAACACTTATTATATATATAAAAAAATGTCTTATATAGACAATATACGTTAACTGACAATTATTCAATAAAAGGTTGGAGTATATGAGTGGGTATTACTATTTTTACCATTAGACATTTCTTGTGTCACATTTTTCTCCTTCTACTTAGGTGTAAAAATGTTATTTTATAAAGTATTGGTCTAAAAATAATCAACCAATTATTTTATATTATGTAAGCTCGTTAAATGTATATGTTGCCGTTAAAAAAAATAAAGTTATTACACCTATAAAGTGTAAAGGATAAACTAAAAAAGTACTTAAAAATTGATAAATCGAAAAGTAAATGTAACTAAAATCAACCAAAGAAAATATTTTCCTGTCTATTTTTATTTTGTAAGTATTTAAATAAACAGACAACCCTAAATTATGTAAATATAATGATTAATTATCTATAAATAACCTAATATAAAGTGTGTATTCTGCTTATATATAATTTTGTGACAGTAAATATTCACTTTAATGCATCTTTTTTTCTAGATTTCACATATATTTATTGTCTTAAAATTATCATCATTAGAATGTTTAACTTCTAACGTATCTGTAGCTTTCATTAAAAGTTTTCATTAAACCAATATATAATGATATTTCTTTTCATAGAGACAAGGCCCAAGGACATAATAATATTTAAGCTACTATGTTTTTAATATTAGTCTGTTAATCTGTTTTACATAATAATTTGATCGAAAATAGTCTTTTTAAATTTTAAAAATATTTTTATTTTTGTGAAAGTTCATGCAAGTTATTATTGTAGAACATACAAAGTCATATTGATTTATTTTAGGAGAGTAAATCATTTATCAAAGATATATCTACCAATTTAGTACCAATCACTACACAATCTTATGCATTAGAATTTCAAAAAGCAGTCGAAGAAGCATCAAAGGGACGTAAAATACATAATGTTCAGGTAAACACTATTTTACAAATATGAAGGTAATAATTTTTAAGCAAATTGTGTTAAGGCTTACTCTATATAAAGTCTACTTATTTTTATTAATTTTAATTTTATTTGAACTTATACTAAAATTATATCTTGCTTATCTGTTTGTTAAAATTGATTTTTCTTGAAATTAGCTTTTTAAACCAGAAGGTTGCAGTTTGGGATTTAGTGTTGTGGGATTAAGAAGTGAAGAAAAAGGTGAACTAGGAATTTTTGTCCAAGAAATTCAACAAAATGGAATTGCTGCACGGTAATAAACATTTCTAAAATACTATTATATTATTATATTATACCAATATTTATTTTTGCTACCTTATTAAATCTATTTTCTTAAAGAGTAATTTGATTTATGGCAGTTATAGATGATTTTTCTATAATTAATATTTATCATTGATTTTTAACATTAATGGTGGTGGTTTTCATGATTTAATATTTTTATGATTGTAAAATGTATAAATAATTAAATTTTTATCTATATTAATACTTAGAAATAAATAAAATGAAGGGGCTAATGATCTTACAAAGTCATAAAAATTTTTTTTTTTAGTTTTAAATTAATACTTATAATATAATTTTGATTTTAAAATTAATGACGAGTGATAAATTTCTATGATACTTTTATTTATAATTTTTAAGTTATTGTGTATTAGTCAATCTGTCTGAATTTTTTAATAATTAGGTTTCAAAATTGATCAATAGGTTAATTGTAATATATATTATAAAATAATCTAAAATTGTTTTTTTAATATATGCTTACCACTTCAAAATATTTTTTAACAACACTTATAATTCTTGATATTAATCTTTAAAATAATTAGAATACAACCCTGTTATTCTATCCAAAGTGGTCCATAATATTTTGATATACTAAATATTTTGTTCCATTTTTTTTTTTGATAATATATGTATACTAAGACTACATTAAAACCATATTTATTTTTTCAAATTCTCAAAATAGCTGTTTTTTTAGTGCTTTTATTACAATAACATTTAATGCAATAGTAACATTTTTAGTACTTATTGAGTTGAAAGTATTTTAATATATATATATTTATTATTATTATTATTAATATATATTTATTATATAAAAGAGTATGTAGCATGGGTAGTACAGCTTATACTGTTATATACAGAGTGATTATGATTAGATCAACTTTCTATATACATAGTTGATGCATATATAAATGTTAATTCGCAACATAAATTATCATACTTTAAATGTTGAAAAACAATTAGTTAACAGTTAATCTAATTCCTTGTATATTGTACATGTATTTTAATTCAAATATTAAAAGTTTTAAAGTGTTATATCTAATAACGAGTTGAAGTTATATTAAAAATTGTCATTTACTATTAAAAAACAAAACTCAAACATTTTATTAAATTCAAATTATATATGCCCTACAAAAAACAAAGTTGACACTCTTACTATGCAAAAAGGATTAACTTAAAAAGTATTACATAGCTAATAATTCAAGAACAATATATAATAAAAAAAATGTTTCAAACTTGTTTCTATTCTGCTAGTAATTGATTGGGTCATAATAAAAAAAAATCTCTCAGTATACAACAGTATGAGTTGTATCCACCAACACTACATAAAAAATCTTTTTGGATTGGGCTGTTCCAAGTATTATAAATTAAGAGTCATAGGAGAATTTAGTAGTAAATCATTTTTTTCTATTTTGTTTTGCTTTAACTGTAGTATCAAGTAATGAAACCATTGAGTGAAGAATATTTTTATCTTGCTATTACTAAAATATCTATTTTTGTTTTATTATCTAAGGAATTATAATTTATAATTTTTTTTATTTGCTCTCCTGAAAATTTACTAAAATAGATTATCCTTGTTGTTTTTTCCCTTGTAGCCTTTTTGTATTTTTATAAAAATAGTGTTATCTATGCACTAATAACTTTATCATGTATATTTTAAGTTTAATTGCGGGGTTATTTTATTTTGACATAGAGAGGAAATATTGAAATTAAAAAAAAAAAAATGCAATTTATTATAATTTTGGAATTTTACCAATAAATGTTGTAGTAAATATGTTTTGGTCATGTCAGCCAAGTTTTAACTATAATTGAATATCTTGTTTATGAGGAATTTCTCTCCATTACTTTTTCAATTTTTAATGTATAATTAAATTTTTTTATTATTTAAAATTTTATTTTTCTGCGTATCTAAGTATTAATATATTTAGCTGAAAAAAAAATGTTAAAATATCAAATACTTGGTAATTCTAGAAACAATTTATGTTGATAGCATCAAATTTTATTTGATTTCAATTATCTATCTAGATAACCTGTGAATGCTAAAATATTATAACTATAGAGAAGATTTAATGTGTTGTATTAGTCTTGTTATTCTACTTGTTGAAATATTAAACATCTAGTTTTATGGTTTTAGATCGATTACTATAGTTTCTAACTATGCAAACTGTAAGTGTGTATGGTTTTCTTTTGCAGGTTACTAATATAACAAAAATGTATATGTCGATGCGCTATATGATAAAATAACAGTGATTATATATTTATAATGAATTTGTATACTCTAAACGATATTTTTCAAAGCATAAGTATCCAGTTGGAGTGTTAAATAAATGATTTAATATTTATTAACTGGGTTGGTGGCTTTGTTATTCTCGTTAAAACTAAACAACATGTACCAGCATATTTATAGATCTCGCATCGTTCTTTACACTGCCGTCCATAGCGCAGGCTTTTGGTAGTCGATCCCCAGAGGGCGGGCTTGTTGAAGTTGTGGTAAACAGGGTTTGGGAAAGCTTTCAATCATTACGTTTTTGCGTTAATGCTTAGTTACCCGCGCCGTATTGATACTCCGATTACTTATTAATGTTGTAGGCTGTTTTATTTATTTTTTACCGTCTCGTTTGTAAGATATTCGGAAAAAACGGGGTCTGTTTTTGTGCATAGTTAATAATTTTCACACTAGATTTTAAAGTTTATCTTATTTGTTTAAATTATAAAAAATGGTTGAACTTAAAATTACTACTAAAAGAAATAAACGATATTTTATTAATATACCATTGATATTGCAACAAATAGTAAGTAATCATGTGTTATTTGGCGTTAGGTATGAAATATGATATATTTTAACTATTTTAGTATAATTAATAGTGTTTTATTTTTGAGAACTTTTCTAAGAAATTATTTTTGTATTATGTTTTTAAGATAAAGAATCTTTTATCTCTGGACGCTTGTAGGATAATAATTTCTCATGTATTTTCAAATCACAATATTGATAAAAAATTTTCAACAAATTTTGTCATAACAATCGACGGAATAAATAAAAATATTATATTAATTATCTAGACATAAGGCACACAATACTTTATTTAGTTTAAATTAAGGTATATTATTATAGCATCTAATTTACCTCTTCTACAAAAATTTTAGCCATTGTTAACCGTTGCATATCATAATTAAAATGGATTCCCAATATAATACGTTATATGATGAGAATATTACTTTTTTTCGTTTTAGAGGGGATAATATAATTTTTTCATAATTGTAGATGCCCAATAAACAAAACCCTATCTATGCTACTGCTTTGTGCATGTGCAAGGGGCAATGAAGACCGGACCTCATTCCTCCTGACCTTTTGACTGTATTGTTTTAGTCGCTATCCCGTTGATTAAAAATATTTGTTATTCAACCATTAATATGTAGAAGAAGTTATCTATAATAAAAATTGATCACTTGTAGCCAATTTTATTTAGAAGTTATCTACTTTAATTATAATTTTGATAAACTTTTTGTTTCGATATTTTATAATTAATTAATAATATTTTTTATAAATACAATGGCAAAACTAATCTACTTGTAATATAGAGGATACAAAATTTATTTTAGCGTGTGTCACGACTTACTGGTAATAAAAATTTAAATATATATGTATCTACGTACCCGTTTACTATTATATTTAATACAAAAAATCTTTGAATTAAAATGAAACAATGTGATATACCACATTATATTATTGTGATGTATCAATATTAAATGGAACTTTCCACTCCCTCACATAAGCTATACTTTTTAGGAGTGGTCACTTTGTGTTTATATTTTATGTATTATACAAAAATATATTTTTGTGGAAAATATTTATTTATTATTATAAATCCATTCTGAAGACGTTGTGTCTTTAACTAAGTTGGTTCTCCAATTTCATATAGAAATAAACTGCTTATCAGATATACGGTTGAGACGTATTTAGGACGACAAGAAGGTTTTTGGCTAAGGGGGTGAAATTGCCGAAGATGTTTTTGACGTTTGAATGATATAAGATATATAGTTATTAATAGTATAGTATATACACATTTATTTCACTTATGATATTAAAAAATCATATCATAATAGTATGATTTTAAATTCGATGTAACGAAAAATACTAAAATAGTAAGTCTCTTGATATAAAATATCAACCTTTGAGAATTAAATTGTTTCCTTAGAATTAGAAATGTGTGATCAAGTTTTATAATATGAATTTTATATTTAATGGTAAAAACAGTGATTCTTAAATTTTTCTGATCAACGCTATTAGTGGTGTACGCAGAATTTTTCAATGGAGAAGAAGGCTAAGAACCTTTTGTTTTTGCTAATCACCTAATATTTAATTGTGCCAAAGTCAAACACTAATTATAATAATAATCGTCCAATGTGAAGACTATTATCTTAGTGGTTCCCTTGCTTATGCCACTGAATTTTATGAGAACATTAAAAAATGTGCCTCAAAAAATTTGACGTATTTTAGAATCCTAGCTACTCTAAGCTGTTCTTGTTTATAGAAGTGTAACCGTTACAAATAATAATTAATGGAGAAAACGCCAATTTGCTTTAGGGTATTATGAAGAATTTTGAATAAATTTTCGATCTCAGTTTATAGAGTAATTTATTAAGGCACGTAGCAAATTTTTTATTTTAGGAAATGTATCTGAAATATATTTTCACTGTTTAGGCATACTATTTAGCTATGCCTTATAAAAATAATATCATTTGGAAAAATGGGAGAGGTTCAGATACTTAAATATGCGCGCATATATGTATAAATAAATAATCTCATTGAGTCATCTTATGAATGTAGTTCTTAAGATAAAATTCTGAGGTACTAAAAATACTGTGGAATTGTTGAGATTAGTTAGGCATTGGTGGTTTCTACAAGACACTAAAATGTGATAATTTTTAAATATTAATGATAAAATCATAAGAGGTATAAAAATGTTTTTTCACAACATTAAATTAAAAACAAGGCATACTATTTATTTTTTTTTAAATTAAATTTTCAAGGTGAACGTCATTCTTAATTCAATTATGTTTGGTACTCTTATTTTCCTTCATAATGGTGTAAAATTTTTAAGTTGATCAAGAGTTTATTTTTTTTATTAAATATGTGTTGATATTCTTATATAGTGTTCAGTAAGTAAGGAAACAGGTCAATTGTTACTAACAATGAGAACAATAGAAACACATTTTCTTACTTACTGAACACCCTATATAAATTAACTAAATACATAGTTACATTAGTTTACAGTTGGTAAAATTAACATTTTTATGATATTAAAATTTAGGGAGGGAGGACTTCATGAAGGTGACCAAATTATTGCTATCGATGGCCAACCATTGGACACTAATGTGTCTCACCAACAAGCTATTGGAATACTGCAACAAGCCCGTGGGCTTGTTCAGTTGGTCGTAGCGCGTCCTCTGACTCCACCTCCAATACCATCCTCTCAACCATCTACTAATATGGTAATAAATCATTTACTTTAAACTAAGTTTTTATATGAATAAAAATAATAGTTACTTTAATATTTTTTAATCCATTATTTAATCCATTATTTAAAAAAAAAGTTAAACAATATGTGCATTCTATTTTAGTTAAACACTGAATGGGCACAAGTTGAAGTTATTGAGCTTCTTAATGATGGCTCAGGATTAGGATTTGGTATAATTGGTGGTAGAAGCACTGGCGTTGTTGTAAAGACAATTCTTCCTGGTGGAGTAGCTGATAGAGTAATTTTTTCTTTCTTTTTTGTTTTTTTTGTTTTTATTATATTTTTGTAATTAAGGATGGAAGACTACAAAGTGGTGATCATATATTGCAAATTGGAGAAGTTAATCTCAGAGGAATGGGAAGTGAACAGGTTGCTGCTGTACTCAGACAATCAGGCAGTCAAGTTCGTTTAGTTGTTGCACGACCAATAGAATCTAGTGCTATTGATATTATTCAAGTATAATAAACATTTTATAGTTTTACTGAGCTCATTGTTTTAGTAATTAATTTGTTTTTTGCTGTATAGTATATTTGTTAGGGTACTTATATGACCCTAATTTTTTCTATTTAATTTATATAGTTATTTCTTATAACTTATTAAATTTTATAATAACTTAAATAATTTATAAATATATAATAAAAATTGATCACTTGTGGCTAATTAATTAATTTAAATTTTACTGTTAGAATTTAAGCTGTTCAGCTCCTATAGTACCAACTAAAATGTTAGGAGACGCTGAAGAACTTGATCGTCATTTAGTACAACATGGTTACCCTGAAGTTGCAACTTATACTCAAGATTATTTTTTTCAAAATATTCCAAATGTATGAAAAAAATTTATAATTTATATTTATTTATTTATTTATAAAACATTATGCTGATTACAGGAAAATAATTTGTTGATTAATGATATACCAAGTTCATTACCTATTCTAACTATGGATATGGTACCTCCTGATAGCATTACAACACTACCAGAAACGGATTCATTTACAGTTCAGTTGAAAAAAGACTCTCATGGATTAGGTATAACTATTGCAGGTTATGTTTGTGAAAAAGGTTAGTCAATTATTTTTTCTTACAGTTAACTTTTAGTGTATAATCATTTATATGTTTTGTAGAGGAGCTATCAGGAATATTTGTTAAAAGTATAAGTGAAGGAAGTGCTGCTGATTTATGTAAAAAAATTCAAGTTAATGATCGTATAGTTGAGGTTGATGGGACTTCGTTACAAGGATTTACCAATCATGAAGCAGTTGAAGTTTTAAGGTCTACAGGTCAAGTAGTATCATTACGTTTAGAACGTTATTTAAGAGGTCCTAAATTTGAACAATTGCAAGTGGCAATTGCTGCGTCAGAAATGAAACCTAACACAAATAGTACAACTGCATCACCATCATTAATGTCTTTACCTAGATTTCCCATTACTGTAAGTTAGAATCTTAACTTAAGCTTATAAAAACCTATTTTTTATTTTAATTTTTTATATTTCAAGGATGGTGATAGTACAGCAGAAATTGAAGTAGAAAGTGAATCAGGTGCTACATTAGAGGCTGATATATTAGATGGGGTTGAGGATGAAACGGCTGAAGAAATAAATTTTGCTGATAGTCAAACATGTGAAGGAGGACTAAAACCTGAAACTATGAAAAATATAAAAAATAAATGGAATGAAATTGTTGGAAACAATGTAGAAATAGTTGTGAGTTATAATTTACTAATTTAATACCAATATTAGATAGTTTTATAATTTTAATTTCTAATGTATAAAATTTTATTGATTTTATTAAGATTGGTCAACTAAAAAAGTTTAGTGAAGGTGGCGGTTTGGGTATTAGTCTGGAAGGTACAGTAGATGTAGAAAATGGCATGGAAGTCAGGCCACATCATTACATTCGTTCAGTATTGCCAGAAGGACCTGTTGGAAAAAATGGGTGTCTTCGATCTGGTGATGAGTTACTAGAAGTTAATGGACATCGTTTACTGGGAAGAAACCATATGGAAGTTGTGGCAATTTTAAAGGAGTTGCCAATGAATGTTAGAATGATATGTGCTAGACGTTCAGATGAACAACAGTTACCACACCATTATTTGACTGATATTTCTGAAGACCGTGCTGCTTTTGCTGCTAAAGTAAACAAAAAACACAATGTTTATAAATTGATAATATTATTTTCTCATTTCATTTATTTTAAGATAGGTATTATAACAATTTTTTATTGTGTATTTAGAATGCTTTGGGAGGAAGTCTTCAAAACTTAATGCCTGCCACAGATAGATTAGTAAAAGCTAAATCTGATGGGTCATTAGCTAGTACTGGAACAGCAGGATGTTCAGAATCAAGCAGGCTTAGATCTCGATCTCTTGAACCTCTAACTGGACTTGCTATGTGGTCATCACAACCTCAACTTATTGAGCTTATGAAAGGAGAACGTGGTCTTGGCTTTTCAATTTTAGATTATCAAGTATATTTAGTGATTATTTTCATTTAAAATTTTAAGTAAAAACCAATTTTTTTCCAGGATCCTATGAATCCAAGTGAAACTGTTATTGTTATTCGTTCTTTGGTACCTGGAGGCGTGGCCCAAAATGATGGTCGTTTAATTCCTGGAGATCGTCTTTTACGAGTAAATGACATATGTTTGGAAAATGCATCTTTAGATCAAGCTGTTCAAGCATTGAAAGGTGCCCCCAAAGGTGTTGTACAAATTGCCGTTGCTAAACCATTGCCAATACCAGACAGCAGTAGTCAGGTGAGTTCTCCTTCAGATCAGGCACATGCAGACGAGTCATTTACTCAGCGTCGTGGGGAATTCTACAATGATGTCGATCAGGAGTCATCTGTTCAACAGTTGGCATCTATTCTGCTCAAGTCGGAGAGCTTCTAATTTTAATCATAGCGTTTTATCACGACAGTAAAACATTTTCATGCATTATAATGATGAATTTTATCTATCTAATATCATTTAATTCTAATTATTCATACTTAATATTTCTTTTAATCCTTCTATGTTTTACTCAAATAACATTTTACTCCTTTCATAGAAATGATTTTTAATGACATTATTTCCAAAGTTACATCAAATTTTATATTGACAATTTATTATTTTATATTTTATTTTAGTCAAGTATTTTAAGTGAAATTCATAAGTCCATAGGACTTTTAATTTAGAAGAATAAAAATAATTACTAAGGAAATATAGACAAAATAATTAATTGAGTGAACTCTTTAATTTTATGGTGTATTAGTAACAAAAATAATCTTATATTTTATTTAAAAATTATTAGTTAAATATTGTTTATTTTATGAAAAATTGCACTTAATTTCTACTGATGTATGTTAAAAGAAGATTAATAATTTCAATTTTTTATTTTTATAGAACTGTCATGATAAATATTGTGCCTTATTAATTTATAAAACACCCAAACAAAGTATTATTTTTAAATTTTTTACAAATTTTTATTTTTAGGGTATAAGGTTATACTTTTAGATATTACAATCAATTTCCCTGTCATTTAAATAGTATCCATTTGTGTAGTGAAAAAACACAACTGCCAATCCATGTCGCCGCTCTTAAACTCATTTTAGTTTAATATTTCTTCTTTTCTAAGTTTAGTATAATTAATTAGACACATTTCTTTTTTTTTTTTTTGTTATATTGTTTTATTTTTATTAAATGTAATTTTTTGAAGAAAAATAATAACTGCGTTTTTATTATATATTATTTACATTAGTCAATAAAAACACAAATAGTCTAAAACCATGGTTACATTGCCATAGGTTAAAAAGAAAAATCAAAAGATTTATATTTTAAATATTTATATTACAAAAGGCAATGTGGTTCATGGATGGCGCATTTGTGTTTTTGTTGCTCTCCTTCATAATAATTCCTTTTCTGTTATATACTTGTATAAAGTTCGTTTAATAAATTTTTTACAGAAATAGACGAATGTGTTTCTATATTTACTTTACAATCAATTTTACTTATCAAATTTCTTATTTTTTAAATACTTTTCTGAATATATTATTCTGTCTGGTATACAAATATATGATTTGTGACCATGATGTTCACGATACTTGAGCTCCTTCTTTTTTTAGGACGATAGCTCAGATGAGAAAAATTTGAGTAATAATATCGAAGAAGATGACTTCGAAGATTGTTGTTCATCGTATAATAATCCAAAATCACCAGTAATAATCAAGGAATCAAAGGCAAGTATTTTAAAAATAGTTATAACTGATAAGTTTGCAACAATTATTTTATGTTTGAAAGAAAACCGAGTTAGATTTAGCTCTAGTTGTTTTTAGGATTGTGTAGTGGATAAAAAAGGTATCCTACTAGTAAAATTTTATAAATTCAGTTGATCTTTTATTTATGTAGTAAGGCCCTTATGAAAAAAAAATAATTGTTTAATATTTTAAGCAACTATATACAAATAAAGTAACTAAAAGTAGAAGATTATTAAAAAAAAAAATTATTCAGATTATTTTTATTTTATTTAATTTTAATTTTTGTTTAGTCGATAATTAAAGGTTTTGCTGTAAAAAGGATGTAGATCCATTTTTTCTCATCTTAAGAGATAAATTATGTATATTATGTATATTGGCATTGTATGCCGTCTTATTTATTATTTAACAACAAATGCATGTAGAATGTTTTTTCTAATGTTAAAGATTTATATGTTTCTATTCAATATGGGACGTGTAAACCCAAACGCCTTAAAAGTGGAGCTACATTATTTTTGTAAGAAACTCTTCAATTGTTTATATTCAGTGTATTGATATCAGTGGCTTATTTAGAACTTATTTTAGGGAGCGACTTATTTTTTTTTTACTTTGGTAAGTATTCTAGCAAAAATTATATTCTTAAAAAGCAGTGATGACAAAAAAAATTTCTATCTTTTGATAGCACTGATCCAGGGGAAGGGCAATTGCATTTATCGCTCCCTTAAATGATATAAATTATTTGAATTGTATAAAATAAATTGTCCGTCGGTTTTATAATAGTATACATTTTTATTGACTTAAAAAATGCCTAAATATTTATTTAGCGTATAGTAAAAATAACCAACTGATACTAGTTTTAAACTTTAATTTTATTTACCTGGGTAATTGAAAAACAAAAATGAATTCATTGTTATATTAACAAATAATAATACTTTACCAAGAAATAAAAATTATCTTTACATTACAAGTTTTTACCTTGTAATACTTTTGTAGCCAATAATCAAGTTATTAATTCTCAATGTTTAAACAATTTGAAAGTATATCGAATTCTATACAAGTAAAAATATGTTTTAGGATCATTTTAAAATGCTATTAATACAATTTTTATTGCGTGTATGTGCAAACATTTTGTGTAAAGAAAAAATTTAATAAATTGCACACGGTATGTTTTCCTTTAGCCAGACTTTTATTAAGAACTATTTGGAACCGGGAAGGTACTTTGAGTTGGGCCCCATCTCAAGAAAACATCGTATCCATGAAAAAGTGTTGAGCAATAAAAAGGTCAATTTATTGAAAATATGTTTTAGTAGGCTAGTAACATTTAAATTAAGATGGTAGCCACCCCCAGTTCCCCTTAATATAGTTCTGTCTGTAGCTAAAAGAATGGTTTTATATTAAAATACCGTGTTACTTTAGACTACTTGATGCCTATAGTTTTTTTCTAATTATATGGGATCACCTCACGAATAATCTATTAGAGTCTATCTTTTTAATAATTTTGTCTATAGTGAAGTTTATTAATGTTAGTTACTAAGTAACACAATGGATATCTCATTGAATTGTCAAATCAAAAATATTTATATCATACATGTATTAAATATGCAATAATACATTAATAATTTCACGTGAAAATATTAAATTGTGTAAATAAAAATTGTAAATACACTTTTACAAACGAACAAAAAAGAAAAAATATGTGTACAATATTGAATACTACCCCCCCCCCTTAATTTCTATCCAATTTATATTTATACGCGTATTTTATTTTCAAACAATGGAAAATGTATTTTTTATAATCAAAAATAAATCGTTCATATGTTGAATATTGTGACTTGATAGTTTTTTTTATAAAAACTTGTGTAATTATTTTTATTTAAAAACTAATTATTTATTAATATTTGTTAAAATTCAAACTCCATAATATTTTTATTCATTAAAAAAAAAAATATTAACTGTGATATCTTTTAATATATTATACCAATATTAATTTTAATAAGAGTAAATAAAACGAATTTTTAATATTACAAATGCGAAAATATTTTCCATTAATTAAATAATGATTTCCTGTGTATTGTGCTTATTATTTAAAAATAATATTTTAAGTATCTTTTATTTTTTTAGAATAAACGTTTTAGTTAAATGAATAATTAATACATTATAAAAAGTCATCAGAGACAAAAATAAAATTTTAATACTTTATTTTCGCTTACAACATTGACGTGTTTATTTATAGTGGCGCCTTAAACGTATTTTGGCACTTGGTACTCATTGAATCGGCATAACAGTGATGTATGTTGAAAACATCACTATATATAAGTTTTTGTACGTTAGTATGGAATTTAAATAGATAACTTTAATAGTAGAAATATATTATTGAAAAATATTTTTATATATAAATATACTGTAGCAAAACTTATTTAAAATATAGTAAATATAAATATTTCAATAATATTCTTTGGCAAAAAAAAAAAATAGAACGATTGAAAAATTATTTGTTGACAGAATTATAACTCAATAAGAGGATTCTCCTAAATCATTATCTAAATATAATGTAATTTTCACTCAGTAAAATTCTCTTTAGAAGTTAAAACTAGTTAGTTGTATTGATTCATAAGTACCCACTTTAATTGTGTGCGTTTCTTTTGTGAAATAGAATGATGATGCCGAAATCATTGTGAAAGATCCAAAGAGTACTGAAAGGAAATCGCCTGACCATTCGTTGTGTGGCGTACAGAAGATTGCAGTGGAAAAGGATTCATTACCACTGGGCTTATGTTTGCGTAAACGTTCTTTTAGTGAACAAGTGGGATTAGAAGTGGAGAGCTTGTATGGTGCGGCTGAAAGGGACCGTAGACTTAAAGTTGGCGACATAGTTGTATCAGTGAACAATGAATCGCTCAAGTACGTGTCACCTGCCCAAGTGAAGACCATCTTGTCTAGAGCTAACTTACTCACGGGACCCATATCGTAAGTGGAAGCCATACGAGAAATAATATATAAATATATCTGTATATATGATAAACCTTTTGTAATCCAATTAATATGCTGGCATAATGAGATTATCAGTTGTAAAAAATCGATAATAGTTTTATTTTACATTGTTATTGCAGTGTGAAATTTATACCCGCTGAATTGTTGAAAGATAGCATCAAAGTATCCCGAAGTAAAACTGTACCCAACATATCTTTACGAAGTCCTAGGTAAGATTAATTAAATATTTATTAATCTTTATTTAAATTTAATTTATATTTTCAATTTTATACGTAGTGCTTTGTTTTTATTAATTAATTTTAATTTATAAAACGATTTTCGCTGCATTTTTCTATGATTTTTCCTTAGCTTCAGCTGTAACATTAAAAATAATATTGAATGTATTTTGTTTTATCATATTATCGCCGATTAATGGCTTCGAGTAAAACAATATTTTTTCTTTGTTTCGATGAAAAGTGTTATTTGGTTAAACGACTATCGTAAAAATTCAATGTTCATCATTAAATCAAAATTAATATGATAAAATAATCGATTCATTTTAACATCGTTAAAACTTCAAAATAGAAACTAGTTTGTTATATAATACCTTAAAGCAAATTAATTTGTTATACATTTTTCTTCGTATGCTCAAAGGATTCTACCAGTTTATTATAGGTGAGACGAAATGTATAAAACAATAATAATGTTTTTATAGACACTCATTAAGCAAATATTTGTTAGATTTATTCTATTAAAAAGTCACTTACGCCTAAAATGCCGCCAATGATAATCGCACCTATTAGTCTCTTAAATACGGTCTACTAATACCTAAATTAGTAAATTATTATATTAAGTTATTAGAATATCGAAACGTAGCCAGTATAATTTAGTGTATTGTTCTTAGAATTAAATGTTTGGAATTTAATACACGTTGTATTTTTAAACATAAATGGTTATTTCTATAATTCAACAATATTTTAAACATTACAAATTTGTAGTTCTACACATTTTTTATTTATTCTTATCAATTATAATTAAAGCATATTTTATCATACAATTTCTTCTACTCTCCTTCAGTTTTCTTCCAAATATTTGTGATCGGTGGTCATGTACATTCAATAAAAAACTGTTATGAATAACTTTTACTATTTTGAACAATTTAATTAGGTCAATCTACCACGCCCATGTAAATCACCTCATACGATTGATAGAGGGATAACTAAAGTTTTCTGATTTTTTTCTCGGAAAAAATAAAACATATTAATAAATAATAATACAAAATCATTTTTCTGTAAAAATGATGCGTTTGTTAAGGTAATACAATTCGATAATTTACACTGGATAGAAATGTATAATTATTTTAGCAATCCGTATATAAAATTAACAGTTTATATAATTTACACTTTAAAGTTTGTATTTTGTGTTCATTAATATAGATTGAGCTTTACATATTAATTAGACTAGACTCATGTAAATTTGACATAATTTACTATACGTTTACAGAATTTATAGTTAAAATTTAATACGCATACGCCAAGTATAATTGGTTTTTAAATAGTAGTAGAGACGAGAATCCTTGGGGATTTACCCAAGCGAATAATTCTCGTTTTGAGGTATAGTTATTTTTCGCAACCAAGAAGTAAAAAACGTTATTAGATTTTATATTAAAAAACTCTGCAAATGTTAACATTTAAATTTAGATTTTATTACTTATTTCATCAGGTCTCTTGAGATTTTGTTATATGGTAAAAGTGAAACGATTTTCAAATTTCTACCTTTTATTTATCTTTTTTTGTGCTATAACTATTGAATATATCACAAAGAAAAGTTTTCCTTTATAATTTAAATTCATTGTATGAAATTTATTTTTCGTTAGTTTACTGAAATTGAACTTATGTATATTGTATCTTCAATGTACAATAAGAACAAAAACATCATTAATTTTTTGTAGTTCAAGAGATTAAAAAAAAAGTTAGATTTCATATTGCATGTTTTATTTTATTGTAATTTAGCGATTTATTCTAATTAGTCTTACTAAAATTATTAAATGTTAAAAAAACCTGTCATGTAGTGTTAATACTTGTTTCGTGAAACAGATCACCATTTGTTGAGTTTCAAGTCAAAGAAGACTGTGATTCTTTTCAAAAGAAGCACCTCAAGACAAAATCTTCTAAACGATTAGGTACATCGTCAAAGTCCAAGTCAGAATGTACGTTATGCACTAAATGTCATTCAGTGCAACGCACTAACAGCTGGAATGATATAGTGCCATTGAACGACGTTAGTTTTGAGAACGTCATCAACTATTACAAGGTATTCAATACCAGCGATGAATATGTTTGCGCTAAATTTACTAGCGACCAGTTCATAAAAAAGTTGGATGAGAAGTTGCTAGAAGAGTCGGAGAGGTTGTCTGAGCTCACTCAAAGCGTATCTGCTGGTTCATTACTAACTTCGCCCGATGACGACCTTGACGGACAACTTTTAGCAGAAACTGAAACTCTCCAGAGACTTACTCAGAATCAGGAAACATATCCTTCGTCTAGTCAGCCGTTTTTACAAGATAACTATAATTTACTTAGATTAGGCAGCGAAGATTTTGGTTGTTTCAATGGTCCACCCACTCGGATTTACCGGTTTCCCAGTACTGGTGTAGCGCTGGACAGAAACGACCCAACCACCGCATTCACCATGACGGTTACAACTGGCCAACAATCGCTGTTGGCCAAACACTGGGGTCCTCAGCGCGAGGTGGTAGTTCACAGGGATTCCAACAATAGTCTGGGAATAAGTATTGTTGGTGGAAAGGTTGGTATTCGTTTATCGCGAAACCGAAGAATTAATTTAATAATAAACACAAATTTTAGGTTGACTTTTTCAACAGTGCTGATACCAATAATAAAAGTACTGCCGTTTCAGGGATTTTTGTAAAAAACGTTCTTCCCCATAGTGTTGCTAGTCAACTAAAGGTTAAACTAAAATTAGCTGCTATTATTATATTGAAATATGTTAACAACTCGATGTGTTTTGATATTGACAGACGGGCGATAGAATTTTGGAAGTTAATGGGATCAGTCTAAGGTATTCTAATCACGAGCAAGCAGTTGAAGTTATTCGTTCCGCCAAAAATCCCGTCGTTTTCCTTGTGCAGTCATTAGTATATTGGGTAACGTTATTCATTGCTTTAGCTGAAATATTCATATTTTATCTGTAAAAATCAACTACAGTTCATTTTACCCTAAAAATATTCAAAATTCTCTCCAAAAAATTGTATTCTTTTGAATGACTTATTTGTTAAATTACGATAAAACACTAAAAAAGTTAATCAAAAGAAATAACACCGTTTTCTGTATTTTAAAGTTAAATTTAATAAAATAAAATTGTTAGTGTGTTTAATTTTGCACTAAATTTTCTATCACGTTCAGGGCCGTCCTGAAAGGTCGATGTGAGAGTGTCGTTAACATACCCCCCACTTGTCAAAATGTAATTGTTCTTATGGGCAATTTTTTAATATAACAGAATGTTACCAAAAAATGATTATTACAAACAAGGTTGCACGATTAAAAAAAATATTCAATCGGGAAATATAAATTTTACACCCCCTCCATATTTTTAGCTGAAGGACGGCCCTGATCTTGTTTTGTTGTGCTATTCAAAACAAATTTATTTCCTTTTATTGGTGAAATCTCTAAAATGAGAAATATAGGCAAATACATTATTAGAGTTTAATTTTTAAAAACATATATTCCATCGAATTTTATTATACTTGATAGAGATCAATAAAAAAATTACGCTGAAATCCAGATCGTTGTACTAATATTCTAAGATAAAAATGATCACTTTTTATTTGAGTTAAAAATGAAATTTTTTTAATATTGTAATTACTGACACATATTTGTCTAGTTGTAAAAAATGTTATGAAAACTAACAACTTTTAATTGTTTTTAGATAAAAATTATTAATAATTACTTTGTTCTTTTTTATTACAGTCAGATAGTGAACAAAATATTAACTCATCTTCATCGTGTTCATCTATTATGGATGAATCTTCCTCAGTCAACCAGACAATTCCAGTCAAACCCGGTAGCGTTAAAAATGTAAGCTTAAAATATGATAATTATAAACACTTAAAATACTTACATAAGAACTCTTATTTAGAGAATATCATCTTGGCAACAGAAAAGTATTGAACATTTGGAAGAACCCCTTCAAGAAAATCAGGAAAAAAGAAAAAGTTCTCTAGCTGCTATCAAAAAAGCTTTATCGTCATTTGACAGTTCAAAATCAATAGCGTCAAATAAAAGCGAAGAAAGTGAAGAAGAAGATAATAGAGATAATGAAGGTCGCATTAGGATTCATTCAGGTCAAGAGGTAAAGATGTAAAAATTATTTAAAAAACTGAAATTTCAATGCTAAAATTATTGGATGAAATTAATAAAAGTAATAATAAAAGAGTTTAAGCTAAGAATAGTATCTAATTAAATATTGCAATTTTGTTATTAATAATTTGATTATAAATAATGGCGAAAGAAGTGAGTTGGCGCCTCCTCTTTGATTCGCGCTTGCTCTTAATAATTAACCAAAAGACATTAATCAGTGTTTTAAATGAATTAAAAACAGATACTGATTTTGAATTGTAATGTTTTTTGTCTGATGTATTATAGTTGGCCGTGCTAACTATATTTAATTAAATGCAATACTGATTTGAAACTATAGTTTTAATATTTAATTTATTTTAGATAATGAGATCAAGCGCAGGAAACGTTAAAAGATCAAAAGCCGAGATCGATGCAGACCCGGAGCAAGAAGATGAATTTGGTTACACATTAAGTAAGTGTTTATCTTTCATTATATAAATTAATAAATCTATCATTGGTTCATTTGACGGGCGAATAATTCTGTATATAATTAAGCTGTTAGTTCATTGGAAAAGATCCAGCTCTTATTTGTTAACTCATAACATTTTATGTGAAATGGCAATAATTATGTTGTACTATAGAGTTTACTCAGTTGTATAAACGTAAATAGAAAATCGTGTCCGTTGTGATTATTTTAGGATTTGTAGGCGTGTGATACATAGTTTTAAATGTCGTCGATATTGAAGTTTTCTTCCGTTGAAATTTTTTAAATCTAATTTGACTCATTGTCCTACAGAGAGAAGTGTTCTGGTTTCAAACTATAATAATGTATATTGTTACAATAAAATATTATGTATAAACACAAAGCTTTAAAAATAAAAATTTCAAACGATGTTGACATGAAATTAATTCTTAGGTACGTTACTGGTTAAGTATTAAAGGCCGTTACTAGGGAGGGATTTGAAGTATGGCAAACGTTACCCACTAGTCAATATTTAATCGTTTTAGTCAGCAAATTTTCGATTTGTAGGATTGCTATAAAATAAGTAAAAGGTCACACAATTAAAAAAACTATTCAGTGGACAATATGTTTTTTCACTCTTCCCCCGACTGTTTGTTGCGAAGCAGCCCTGATTGTAGTTTAAGTAAGTTTTTATATTTTTATTAAAAATCTATACTTGACGTTATCTTTCGTAAGGTACTGCTTGTAGTAGGGAGGAGAGGATATCTGATGTAATTTAGCGTACCGGTTTCAAAACAAGGTATGAATGTATCGAGGCATGACTGTTATGCCATGACACATTCCTAATTTTGTTATTTGGGCCTTTAATTGTTTTTAAAAATTAGTTGACTTGAAATTAATACATCTAAATGTTACCTTGATTATTTATTAATTTGTTTACGAAATAATGCCCATTTAAAATGATTTTACTAAAAAAATTTTATTGTGATTGCACATATTAACAATGAATATAAACAAAGATTAATAATTTTCAATTATAGGCTGAATTAAAAATAAATGATATACGTGAAACAATAATTGTTTCGTGTACAAATTACTTATGATGTCAATGTATACTTTTTTTTAGACAGGGTCTATAATAATCACAGACGTAAATTAGAATGAATAATGTTCCTAAATTTCAACAGTGAGCCGTGTAATTAGAACTTAGTGGTCCAATTTCTGTTTCAGTATCTCTGGCAGTACTGTATATTTTCGTGTAGCCATCACAGAGAGGCATTCGGTCAAATTGTATTACTATTAAATCCGATTGCCTCTGCGTCTGTAAAGATTGTCGCGGTGATTAAAAAAGACCCTCCGCCGCTTGTAGTATCAATTCTTCTGAAACGTGTTCGGAATTCAAGGTCGGTCATTGAAAGCGTAACGATTGTAATAGGTACACTGCAAAAAAACGGACATATTGGCTTAGGTTGTGCGTGTCTTAGGAACGACTATTCGGGACATATATGATTTTTTTTTGCATTATTAAGTATGTATATCATTCGGAATAAAAAAAACAAAAACAATTTTTCTGAATCATCTGTCGGCGACGACATTGTGGTCGCGTGCAGTAGGAGCGGTGGACTCGGTCAGTAGACGCCAACTTCAATAAAACTGGGTGAGATGGTCGAGACTACTGATCTACGTTAATCAGTGAACGGACTGCGCCACAGTCGTTCACACCGACGTTGCGATCGCGTGTTGATTTTTTTAAATTTTTATTTCAACTATAGATTTTTGTGTTGGACGGTGAAAAAACAAAATCTTTATTTATTCGAGTTGGTGCGCGCGTTTTACTAGCGTACCGGACGTCGATTGATATCGTCACGCACACTCCGGTACGACCGGCATGATAACCGGCCCGATCGGCCGTCGTTGCCGTCACGCCGAAGCAGCTGCCGTCGCGCCACTAACGCCGTCTCGTTCGACCGGTGGACGTCGCGTCTCGACGACGTTACAGCACACAGCCGACAAGTATGCGCGCCCGGCCGGACGCGCCGCAGCAGTCGCTGCAGTACGCGGTCAACAACCGGTGGTGTGTTCTCAATAATGTTTAGCGCCCTGTTCGTCCACAGACTACGACAACACGAGTGCGATCATGTCCATCCCTTATACGATGGACGCCATCTACAAGGCCATTGACAGCGACTACGAACTCGGTAAATACTTTTACCTTATACGTTCCAACCATTCAGAGTGTCTGTCACGGCACCAGGTCCGGTGAAATTCGAATCGAAACTTTACATATCAAATTGATTTTTTTGCGAACACATTTTTTTGTTCAGTTTGTTACAAAGCGTTTGCGATGATAATTGTACGGAAAACCGACGAAAAATAGTTTCTCGCTTCTAGTTTAGTGTATGTTTTTCCCTTTTGTATTCGCTAATTTTGACAGTCTATTTCTCTCGAAACTTTTGGCTTTTTAATAGGTCACGTCTTAATAACAATGGAAATTATAAACTGTCGTACACATATGAGCACTATGAATGTGTTTAGTTTGTTGTCCAGAGTTGTTATTTTTGTCAGCGTAAATTGTTTATTCGTAACCTAATACTTTGTTTGTTTTCTGTAAAAAAAAGAACGCAGCGTTTGTAATTTATTTTGTCTGGAAAAGTAGTTCATTTATTATTATTGATCATTTGGATAAAGTGTTTGTTATTTGAAATCAAATTCGGTGCCAAGCGTATTTACTTTAGATTCTCGGCCAAAACATTTATACAATTATTTAAATTCGTACGATAAGAAAATTAGCCTGAGCAAATGATTCGTAGCGATGTAAGTGCTTACATGTTAAAAAATTGTATGTTTTTAAAATTGTTGTTTTCTCATTAGAGTTTACGACGTTTTTGTGGATCGCGCAATGATTACGATTTTAGATATTATTTTAATAATAATAATATTACTAATATGTCTTGTAATGATCATTGGTGTTTGTTCTATTTGCTATTACTCGGTATCCGCTCGGAGTCTAGAACGTATTAAGTTTCTCCGATATGCATATGTTTTAAGTAGTTCCATAATTATTGGAGTTGTTACGTTGAAAAATTGGTGTAATTTATTTAGTTGATAGAAAGGAAAACGCAACTCTCATTTTAACATTAACATGTAGTTTTTGTGCACAATTGGACGGAGGTAACTTTTTAAATCACGAAACAACATCCTCGTGTTCGTTATTGTATACATTTACCGACAGCCAATCATTTTTAAATAATGCAGAACAAGAATTTAATCATTATTTTTCTGATGATTTTAGTGTGTAATTTTTAATATGTGTTGTCTGTGCAATTTAATAATATTAAGTAATGTATCCATCCACTGAAACCTTTTTTTTTTCATCGAAATACTATTTATTATGTATTGTCCGTGTTTGACAATTATTTTACATAAATTTTATTGCTATGACAACGCTAATGTCGTTTTTAAAAAATAACTATATTTTGAATTTACCGTGTATAATTTTTTAGTGTATATAATATTGTCATTCTGTTATTTGTGTGATTATTGAAAACGAACGGAAAACTATCGCGATTATATTAAGTACATAGAGTTGGTCTACTTGGTTGGAAATTTCAGAGTTTACCTGACTCAGGGAATATATTTCATAATAAATAATATTTTGTAAGTATGTAACAGATGTAGTTTTTCAGTATTAATTCTAACAACTTTCAAATGTAAAAGTAGATAATCATTAATTTGTTGAACTAGAAAAAAGTTTTAAAATATTTTATCTGAATCAATTTTCTTACAACTTTAGCGAGAAAAATCAATTTATTATTCCTAATAAGTTTCCTTATACAAATACAAATGTTTACTTTAACATATTGAATCCAAAAAAAAATTTTTTCGTTTTTATAGTTGATTCTTTTATTTATTTTGTAACGTGTATAGTTTTTTTTATTAAAATGACTCCAACATTACAAATAAAAATATGATGATTAAATGAAGAAAAAAAAAACCAAGTAGATTTCTCATTAATATTGGCGTGTAGAAAGATATTTTATGTTTTTAATAGCAGTTCCTTTAAAATTCTTTATAGCAGTTTTTTTAAGCTTAAATTCAATAAAAGTCGACGTAAGAAAAAAGTATTTGTATCACAATAATCACAATAATCTTCATTTATAATAATTAAAGAAAATTGTTTCCGGTTTGTTTTTCTTAACCCTAATCAATATATATTAATTACGAATTTAGTTACGGGGAATCACTTCGCTTTAGAACAAAATATGTTCCTATGGTACTTTACATGCCTATGAGAAAATTTCCCAAATTTAGATGTCCCGGAAGTGGTCCAAATAAATTATATAAATGCATTAAGTCTAACTATATGTAACATGTATTGATAAAATATACAAGCTTAATTTTGCCTTCACTTTTCGGTGTGTATTATATTCATGTCAATCGTGTCAATTCACATATATTGTAATATTTCAAACAATCGACGCTAATTGAACACATGTACGTTAAGGTTAAACACAGTCAATCAAGTTATTATCAACTCAAAGCAGATGATAATTGGTCAGGTTTTGTTTTTCCATGTATTGTATTTTAAATTTAGTATTTTGCATACATTATTATTTTAAATGCGTGTGCCTCTAAAAAAGTCTGTTTTACCAATACCAAATGGTAAAAGATATTAGACAGACGTATTTAACAGCTTGTCAATATACATTTTGTTACGAACATTTTGTTATCAGCTAGTTATAAATACTGTATTTAGGAATTAGTAATTTATTATTGATCATTAGACGGGTTATTATTAGTGATAATGTAAAAATGTTTAATTTTATATTGATAAGGATTTTTTAAAAATTAAAAGAATTACGTTTGTAAGATCAAATTCTACTAATTTTTTTAGTTTTGATGCGAAGCTGAGAAGGTATTAATTTTACTATTATGTATTTTTGATCGTGTCTGTTACCACTTTTTCTCAGCTCTTACCAAACCGATTTTTTTAACGATAAGTCAAAAGA